AAATACCTGAATGGGGCTGATATGGATGGCTGCTGATTGACTTGTCCTGGCTAGATCTAAGGGGCAGGAGGGTGAAGTCTGGGAGAAGGTCTTTGACTGTCCTCAATGTATCTGATTCTTAATAGCATATTAAGCTATCCCTTTCACAAGATCTTCCATGTAGATTTTTAGGCCAATATTTCAAAGTATTTGAAAGACAAGAAATAGAGAACATATTTTAAAAATGAAAGTTATGCTTAAGATGTAGTTTTTAAAGGATTTAAACAAAACCATGTTTACTTACCCAAGGAACAATACAGTTAACCACAGCTACATAGTACTCAGTGTATTTATGAATGTGTATTATCAAGGAATGTATCCTATGCATAGACCAAGGGGGCCAGAGAACTATATTTATTTTAATCTAGAAATTACTTTCTTATAAATTTATAAATTTTAGTAATATGTTTTTTAATTTTTTTTTTTATTTTGGAGTCATCTGAAACATTTCTTAAAAACAGTATTATTTTGGGACCAGCAGTTAGTGAAATGGCTATGTCGCTGGACTCCCATGTAGTCAACCGTGGTTCACGTCCCAGACCCAGTGGCTTGAGACTCATGCCGGGTGCGTGTGCGTGCATTTCCAAGATCCTGAGAGGAGAATGGAGGAGAAGGGATTGCAGCATGGCCATACCTCCTGGGGGGTGATTTCTCGCTTTCTATCTCCCTGTCTCTCTGTCTGTCTGGCGAGCGCACGTGCCCTATAGCAAAAACCTCTCCCCCCAAAAACAAACAAACAAACAAAGAAAAAAAAAACAGTATTATTTTTAGGTGCTACCAATTGCACTTGGCAATAAAAGTGTTGTTGTTTATCTTTGGGCTAACTTTTCTTTCCATGCTTGGATTTTTTAGACTCTTTCTGATTTTAAAAGGATAGGCATTTATTCTTGTGAAAACACTTGATGTCTTTTCTTTGGGTGATCAAGGGTAAAGATCCTTGTAATAACTGAGTTGGTGCTTTCTGTACATGGTACTGAAGCACATAAAGTTGTGGGGACCTAAGAGAAGATTCTCATGGTAGAAGGAAAGAACTGAATGCACTTCTTTCAAAGTGAACCCAGCCTTAAAAACCATCACTCTAAGCTAAGACTGTGGCCTTGATGAGATTCTCCCATAAGATTTCTATGAGTCCACTGCTCCACAGCCTAAGTGGGGCATTAGCTAGGTATTGGTGGCCAAGGGAGCTGGCTACTCTTGTGTCAGTTACAGTCTGGGTGTGTCTTCTATAGACTTGGGTAAGGCAACTCCTACAGATAAGGTGGGAAGGCTAGCAGGAGACAGATGACAAACAAAGATCTGGTTATGATTCCACTGGGTATTACTTTATAATAAACAGAATAAGAAACAACAAGATGATTCTGCTTGCTCTCCTTGTTTGTTTGCTTGCTTTAGGACACATGTACTTACCAGAAAGAGACAGAGACAGAGAAAGAGAAAGAGAGAGAGAGAGAGAGAGAGAGAGAGAGAGAGTAAGAGTAAGAAATCACCTTCCAGGGAGGATAGTCACACAGCAATCCCCTCTCCTCCATTCTCCTCTTGGGACTTTGGACATGTTTGCACATGTGCCCAACATGTTCTTCAAACTGCCAGGTCTAGGACTCAAAATGTGCAGCTACTTTAACCACCATTCCATTGGATGGCCTGTATTCTGTTTTTTTTTTTTTTTTTCTTTTTTTTCTTTTGTTATTGTTATCTTTTTATTTTGAAATGATGAGTCCTGGTCTATAAATAATCATTGTACATCTTTGTGGGATATAGTATGGCTTTTCAAACCATGCATATAATGTGTGTAATAATCGGATCAAGGAGATAGGCATATGCATTGTCTTCTGCTTTTCTCTCTGGCTAAAGGCTTACTTTGGGAGACCAGGAAGTAGTATGATGGTTAGGGTGCTAGATTCCTACATGGTCTATTATGGCTTGACTCTCAAACCTGATAACTTGAAAATCATGCCAGATGCTTGCAAATGTGTACCCAAAATCCCAGGAGAAGAATGGGAGAGACTATCTCCCTGGGGGTGATTTATCACTTTTCCTCTGTCTGTGTCTCTCAGTGAGTGCACATACTCTTTAGCAAAAGGAAACATTACTATTACTTCTGTGATAGTACTTCTGTGAATATGAAACAAAACATTGAAAGTATTTTTTTTTTTTTAGAGATATTTTTGCTATAGGGTGCATGTGGTTGCCAGAGAAATAGAAAAAGACAGAAAGCAAAAAGTCACCCCTGTTAGGGTATGGCCAGATCGCAATCCCTTGGACATGCATTCACACACATGTGTCCGGCATGAGCTTTAAGCTATCAGGTCTAGGACTTGAACTGCAGTTGACTATGTATGTGGGAGTCCAATAATGTAACTATTATGTCATCTGCTAGTCCCAACATTGAAAGTCTTAAAAACAGAAATTATCTGGTAACATTTTCTTATCTTTCCTAAGCTGCGTACTATATCCTGTTAAATATACAGTTTTTTATAGGTAGAGGTAAAATGTAGGTAGAGGGCCGGCAGATGCTATGGTGGATAAGGCACTGGATCCCACATGGCTGACTCCATGGTTTCAGTCCCAGACCCAGAAGCCTGAAACATACCAGCTGGGTGTGCATGCATGCCAAAAATCCAAAAAGGAGAATGGAGGAAAGGGGATTGCAGCATGACCATCCCCACTCTACCCCCGCACCCCCCCAGGGAGTGAATTCTCACTTTCTCTCTCTCCCCCTGTGAATGCATGTACCCTGGGGCAAAAATTCTGAGCAAACAAAACTATCTGCCTATTGTCTGAGTAAATGACTTTTTAACTATGGATTCAATTATTTTGATGTAGCAGAAACAAAAGACACACTCCAGTCCACCTTTTTTCTTTCTTATTTCTTCTCCATCTCCTCCTTCCCTTTCTCTTTCTCTTCTTCCTTGTCCTCCCTCTCCTCTTCCTATCTCCTCCCTTTCCTCTGCTTCTTTCTCTCTTTCTCTCCATGAGGGCAGGTCAGTAATGGATCTACTTGATGACCCTCCAACCTTCATCCTCCATATAGTAGTGGACACATTCAGGAAGCAGAGACCTCTTGACTGTGTCTCATGTCTCACATATGGCAAAGGTATGAGGGTCTTTGCACTCAGTGAGGGCTAGACTGATGTGGAGTTAGACACATGGAAGATGTTTAAGAAATGTGTGATATGGGATAAAGTCAAGAAAATGCCTTTTAAAAAATGTCAAAACCATTGTTTAAGAGTTTTATTTTTACACAACTGGAATTTCCCTAATGTTATTTTGTTTTGTGACCTAATCCCCACTGAATGTTATTTTTCCCATGTTGGGGGATATGGTACATATTACTAATTTCTTCAGAGTTATATAACTGTAACAAAGAGATCCAAAAAACAGGTTTGCAAGTTCAGACTCTGCTTCTTACGACAAATTATTAGGACTAAGTTCCATGAATGCTTGGTTTTGGTGTACATGACAAATATATTCTCTGGGTTGTGTTGGAACATGGAGTATAAGGGATGAGACTGGCACTGTCTTATTTATTTATTTATTATTATTATTATTTAAACATTTAATGATCTTTATGGTTGAGCAACATGTGCCTTTTGAATGCCAGGACTTTGCTTCTGTGGTGCTTGAATTTCTGTTTTGAAGATAGAGATATCTAATCCTAGAAGTTGACAGGGAAAAATATGAAGCAACTGTTTCATATTGGGTTGTCAGGAAAGTCATGATGTATTTTCTATGCAAAAATGTGTCATGATTTTTCCGACAACTCAATAGAACTGACATAACCTAACATCATAACACAATATACTCCCCTTTCAGAAATTATTGCTATTGCATTTTGTAAATCAATAAATTTGTAATTTATAGTTCAGGAACACATTCAGGTCTTTAGTGTTTTATTTTTATTATTATTATTATTATTATTATTATTATTATTGTAAAATGCCCATAAATTTAAGTTCATTCTTCCTGTTTTTCCATTAGTAGTTGTCACACTTTGTGGCTACTGGTGCTCTACATGACTTATCAGTAGAAAGATACTGAGGATGAGAGAACACAGCTCTTTATAGGTATCAATGAAAACTGCTGAAAGAAGAGAATGAGTCACCAGCTCTAGAAAAGCCAACTTGTGAGAGAGATGTTAGTTTGAGTGGCTAGAGGTTTATAAAAAGTGTAAGATTTGGAGTCATCTAGATCTTCCCAAGTCATTTAATTCTCTCAGTCTATTATTGACTTGTAAGACTTCTGTAAAGACTAGCGGTACTGCACAGAATACTGATTATCATTATTAAAAGTAAAACTCTAAACAAAAATAGAAAATTTGTAGAAGTATTTGGGTTCATTGACACTATATGGATTCTTGCTCTAACATGAGCAAGGGAGCCAAAAGAGTGGAAAGCTGGATTTGTTCTAAAACTCAGCTCTGCTCTAGAAATACATATTTCTTGTGGTAGCTGTATAAATAATTGGAATTGACAACAGAGGGAAAACTAGATTTTAGACCATTCTGTGGAAATTAACTAATTACATGTCTCATAAATGTATCCAATACATATAACTTGTGGTGGGTACAACATGCTTATCAATCATAACTATTATTAGAATAAAAAGGAAACTGAAAAATTACAGAGCACGGTGGGACCAGCAGTTAGCATAATGTCGCTGGACTGCCATGTAGTTGACCACAGTTTGAGTCTCGCACCTGGTGGCTTAAACTCAAGCTGAGTGCGTGTGCGTGCGTGCCCAAGATCCCGAGAGGAGAATGGAGGAGAAGGGATTGTGGCATGGTCATTCCCCCCTGGGGGTGATTTCTCCCTTTTTGTCTCTGTCTCTTTCTGTCTTTCTGGTGAGCACATGCATCCTATAGCTAAAACCTCTAAAAAAAAAATGAGAGAGCACCATGTTAGATATATTAATGAGAAAAATAAGTCTGATTACATATGGTGCTTGTGAAAGTCTCTGGAATAGTGCTTGCTTCAGTAACACATATACTAAAATTGGAATGGTACAGAGAAGATTAGCATGGCCTCTGCACAAGGAAGATACCCAAATTCATGAAGAATTTAATATATTTTATTAAAATCAGATTAGATATCACAGAAGATGGAATCTTGAATGTAGAAGACAAAACCTCTGACCCGGAAAAAATTATCAAGAGCACCAAGCCTCCCACCTGGGTCCTTCGCGCATCCCCACCCCTGCTCCTCTCTGGACTTCAGGCTGGTCTTGTGGGACTTTACGACGAACTCGCAGTCCCCCACACCACATCTGCAAACCAGATTGAGCCGACCAGCAGTTCCGGACACCAGGCAGCCTGTGGCTGCAGGCCTTTCCACCCAGGACCCGTCGCTCATCCTCTGGCCCTCCCCCACTTGCCTTTGGACACTGTGAATTTTAGTGTTTTGAACAGCGCACGGTGCGCATTGTGTGCCGCACACCACACGGTTTTGTTTTGTCTTCTTTTTCCTTGTTCTTGAGGTGTTGCTTAGCAGGTCAGTTGGAGGTTCACCACTTCTTAGAACAAGGGAGGACTTTAGGTCACCCAGGACCAGTGACAACAGTACATGGTACTGTTGAGCAACAGGTAGGCAACCATAAGGGAAATCATCAATTTTCTAACCCTGTACAACTTTTAACACTCAGAAAAACCTTAAATATGTCAGGAAGCAACATATAGATCACCTGATGACTAGAAACAATTGCAGAGGCTCAAGAAGTATGAGCAACAAAGAAAAGGCCTCTCCCTCAAGGGAAATCATCAAGCCTACAT